CAAATTATTGTTGTTATTGTTCTTGAGGCATAAACTATTGAAGAGAACCACACTCAGAAAGGCCGAAAAACACACAGTTACCATGTCGTATACTCCACACCTTGCTGTAACCGCTGGTGGTACAACACTGCCCGATGGTAACAGCACGGCGTCCATTTCCAATCCATGGCTCCGTCGCATCTCGCGCGTGCACAGACATTTGCCAAATTTTTAACATATTTTCGCCAAACATTTTTTAACAGTATGGCTATCTGAATGTGAAGTTCGTCAGATTCGGTCCATCACTACTTGATACAGACAGAGAGAAAGACTGGCGAAAACACGAGTACCGATAAATCATGTTGCATGTAAATTCTAGTCAAGGACTTTGTTCGCAGAGCCACATTGGCTGGGAAGACTTGTACACTTTGCTCTTTAGGAACAAGGCTTGCTCTTGCCCCTTCAATGCACATACGAGTTACGAAGTAAATGAATAACTGACATTCCTTTCAGTGGTTAAACTCAAACCTTTTTGCCAAGGCACAAAGGTCAATGCTGGGGACATAAGCAAATGCTGAGTGTGCATGTCTTGCCATCTGCAATAGTTACTCTTGCAGATGTCACGTGTAAATGCACTTTCAGCATGCTCCTTCGTGCTCGGCAAAAGTTCAGCTGTCCGAACAAACCTATGCATAATCATTCGGCTTTGGCTAAAACTATTTTCATTTGTTTCCTCAAAGGTTAGCAATTCATAATAAATATGTTATTATAATAGGTTGTATCTTTGTGAGCCAGTGAATAATTGAGAAGAGACAATGTTGTCGGTGGGAGGGGAAACCGTAGTGTAGACTAGAAAATATGTTTAGCTTTGTAAGTCTAAATAGTATTGAACTTGTGTTAAATGTTTGTGCTGTCATGTACAGTTGGCCAGGTTTGGTTTATACAGTTCCAGTCTACCTTCTCGATGAAAGCCCCATTTATTAAAGATGAACAGGAGAGCTGATTGGCCAAGCTTTAGACTCTTCGGATGTCTGTGGCAGCACATGAAAAGAAAAGACAGTGCAGTATTACCTGTGAGGGAAACAAAACAAAAAAAATATGCGGAGAGCTTGTATTTCATTACTTGCCTCTGGCGCATCGGAGCACGAGCAATGGATAGGATAAAAAGCACGAGGAACGCACGATGACGAAGCAAGCAAGCACTGTCACTGGGAAAAATTAAAGGGGCACAAGCATTTGGATGCATGTGGAAGGAGGGCAAACAAATGCACAGGGCGTGCAAATATCAGACAAAATTGCAAGTTCTAGGCGCACATACGCATAGCTTACCTCTCGAAACCTTTGGCAGAGTGGGATGGAGAGTATATCGCATCAGAGTCTGGCATGCTGCTGGGAGCAGGAAATATGCAATTGTATTGCACCTCGCTGCTGCAGTAAAGGACGGCAGAATCGAAGGTATCCAACGGTACCGGCTCCTCCACGACCAGGGAGATTGATCTCGACAGTGCAGTCCCTCAGGATCCTTCCTGCCTTGCAGGATGCAGCAGTCCAGCTGCTGAGACTAGGGCCTGCAAATAGCACTTTTATACTACAATGTTTTTCACGATGCCTGAATGATACAATTTGGGCAATCAATAGTCTCTAACCCTTAGAAGCATGGAGAGTTGGGCGAGTTGGTGGGATTTCATCGTAGGAAGCAGCAAAAACAGACGAGGACGTAGACGAATCACACGAAACGAGCGCTGCGCTCGTCCCGTGTGGCTCGCGCACTGGTCGTTCAGTGCGCGAGCCACTCGCGGAAACCGGCAAGACAAGCACGGGCACATCACAGGGCGTCTCATTTGGATGACCGGTTTCACATTTACTCGTTTCGCCGTGTTTTGGCTGTGCATACACGCTCCAAGCTCGCGAACGAAGCGTGTTCTCAGTTATAAAGCTCGAACCGGGAGGCTGGGAGAAAAAGAATTCCTCCCAGTGGTTTGCGAGATGTGGCAGCTGTTTGGAGAAAACAGAGCCGTGCATTCTGGTCCAAGTAAATAAACGACACCGCAGAACACGACGACAATGAGTGTACAGGCTTGCTTGTGGATGCTGATCATGTTCAAAATTACCCGAGTCTGTGGTAAAAGAGGGGAAACCTAGGTCCTAGAAGAAAAAAAAATATCGTGGCTTTATTCGGCTTAGGTGGACATCGGCTCCATTCCGGTCTAAAGTATTAGTATTCATTTAATTTAGGTAACGCCATGCTCGCAAACTTTCGCATTCTGTCGCCATCACTAGCGTCTCAGCGATATTCAGCTTTCTACGATGCGTAGTTTATTTACGCGGATCGAAAAACGCGGTTCTCTTTTCTACAAAACGCCCTCAGTTTCGAACACGTATGTCACGCAGACTGCTGCCAAATGCGACGTTCATGAAACTCACAAAAATCACGAAAACACTAACCAGGATTTTTTCGCGGGTTCCTCGCTCGGTCCCGTCGGCGACGGGAACCAGAAGCGTCGGTACAGCAGACTGATGGCGTCCACAACTACGGTCACCGCTGGCGAATTCCTCGGAGTTGTCCGCACAGCAACGAGGAATGTGGAGGAGGTCCTCGGTGGTCGTTTTCTTGCCCGACGCAACGTAACCATTCGCGTCTTCGCGAACCTTGCTTCGAGAATGGGATAAAGTGGGAGCCTCGGGAAGACAAGACGACCGCTAGACGACGGAGTTGAACTTGACGGACCGACGCAGCTGCTGACGCAGACGCGTGCCGCATCGCCGCGCGGGCACATAACTCCCGCGTAACAAGGCAAGGAGAAAACATAGTTCGCTCGTTTTCAAAGAATAATAGCTGTATTACGTCACCTACATCCTAAGATTTGACGTGGTTGTCAAAATATAATGTGCATGTGCCTAAAAAGAGCAATATTAGTAAGTTCAGAATCTCCACAAAATTAACAATTTCTATCAGTTAAATTTTATGGCGGTGGAGGAGACACAGGATGGACTCCCCAAGAGGAAGTAGTGCCTGCGTATTTCTATTGCTGCGAGTTTATTTCGACGTCTTGCCGTCTAGAACTGGTCATTTTCATAGACTGAAGCATAACAAACAATGTGCTTTCCCAAACAAACTTCTCCAAAAAGCACTTGAGTGCCCCTTTAAGTCCAAACTTAGCCGACGCTACGAGGTAATAAGACCATTCAAGCGGCATCAAAAGTGCGAGTCACTACGCCTTTTCTGTTCGTGATTGCTTCATGCGATGACCAATATACGCACAGAAACATGGCGAACGTGCACCAGGATGGCGCAATTTTAACGCCGTCTGATTGGTCCCATCAGATCGTACTATCGGTAGAGTCTGGGTTGAAAGAGTATAGTTATAGTTTTATATTGAATTAAAAGCCATTCTTGTCCAGCGCGTGAAATTTAGCGGGTTTTTTAGCGGTTTTGGGGGCGGGGGGATTTCTACTGCGTTATGACTCATGCGTTTCACGCCAAACCTTTGCACATATCTCGCTCGCGATAGCCACCACCTCGTCGTAAGCAGTCGTAAGCAAGTGTAACCATGGTACCTGGAACGGGTTTCGGACTGGTGTGCTTATCGCGTCCAAAAAAAAGTGGTCCCTCGATTTCCGTCTGACGATGTCATAGAAGCGTCACACTGTCGCCAGCAGCGTTCATGGCCGTGTCTCAGCAGCGGTGGTGGACGTGGAAGACGCCTGTTTTGCCTCAGGTCGCCCGCAAGCATGGTTGTGAGCGGTAGCTTCGGTGGCCAAGACTTGCGACAGCGCAGCGAAAGCGACACTCGCATTTGCTCGTGCTCTTTGCCGGAACTTCTGCGACCAACCACCAGGATCGCGTCATCCGACAGCGCGACATTCCGGCTTCTGTGACGCAATTTTTCGCCTCTTTTAGATCACTTTCGATGCATGCGCGAAATAGCATACTCAACACAGCAGTCGGAGACGACTTCCGGGCACCGTAGTTGAAACGCAGTCGGTGACGCTATGGAGCCTGGAACGGGTCTCCGACTGGTGTGTTTAGCGTCCTATCCCACCCATACATCAAAAGTGGTCCCGAAGTGGCAACAAATGACGGCACGGAAGTTGAAGTGTCATGCTGTTGGCTGTCGCGATCCTGGCGGTTGGCCGTAGAAATGTTGGCGAAAAGCGCAAGCGAACGCGGGTGTCGCTGTCGTCACGGCGTCCCAGGCGTCCCAACTTGCGGCTGTTGTAGCTTCCGTGGACCGTCACAGTGGAGAGCGACCTGCAGCAGGACAGGCGCCTGCCTTAGGTACCACAACTTCTGGGACGCCGCCAGGATCGTAACCGGCGTCAACATGACAGTTCTAAGGCGTCATCAGGGGGAAATCGAGGGACCGCTTTTTTCGGCGCGGTAAACACACCAATCGGAGACGCGTTCCAAGCACCATAGTGACACTCAAACGCAAATGTCTTAACGAGCCTGTTGACTACCACATGTGACAAAAGTTCTATATATAGCTTGATTCCGCGGCAAGCCTGGCAACACTGTGTGTCCCAGTGTTCCGAGTCTGCAGTCCCTGGCGCAAAAAGCACGCGCTTATTTTCATAGGAAAAAAACAACGATTTGTACAAATCTTTCCGAGGTACTCTGTAAATGGTTGAGGGTGTAAACAACGTTATTCTCTGCAGCAGAACATTCTGTAGCATGAAGGAAGCGCCTCTTCGCTTGAGAGCATACAATGTTTCTGGTCTTTTGAATGCAATATGTTATCGGGATCTGTATGCCGGCCGAAATTAGGCTGGAAATAATAAAACAGATAGACATATGTAGGCTTTGTGCTCAACTTCAATTTCTATGTTTGACAATGGGTGCAAGAAGACTTCTTGATTTATGTATATACTACATTGTAGTCCCCGATAGATGTTCCAGGCTAATACACAAAAAGCTTAAACAAAGATAGGAACACATTAAAAAAAATGGCACCATGACAATGTGTGCTATATAAATAAACTGCACTTAAAAGTTCTAAACAATGTCTGGGTAAACTTACCAGAGTTATCAAAAGCATGGGAAATTTCATGGCCTATATCTGCTCCAAGTGCTCCCATATTGATTGATCTGAAAAAATAAAGCTTGAGATGCAAGCCTGGAAGGACGTGTAAACCTTCCTCAAAATGGTTTGGAACATAAAACGCCATATGAAGGGTATCGCATTTTAGGTTTTTACTTGTTTTCAATTCAGCTTACTTTTTTGTTTCTCATCTAAAATAAGATCCGTTTTCTGGCTTTCTTGGGTGCTTCGTGCCGTCCCTTTGTTCAACTCATAACCACATACTTATAGCCTTCCTTTTGCTTGCCATGTTTGAGGACTGGGCGATTATTAACAAATGGCCTAGTTGTGCACAATGAAGCATTAGTGAGAGCAAAGTACGAGTAGTACCAGGGGCTTAAACATGGCCGTAAATCAATCAGTGACCAGCAACAACCCGGCCGTGGTAGGACGACATGATCGTTTCCGATCACGGATTCATGTCTGCCCAGTTATAAACACGTCAACGCACTCATACTTAATTCTCTCGTTAGTGCAGGCATTTTCACGCTATTGTGGCATAATTCTGTGAATTATTTGAGGTTTCACGCCTTCCGATCACCAAAATCTGATGACGCTCGCTGCAGCTCAACATTGCAAACATTTAGGGATGCCGCCATTTCGGATATGCTACTGTTCCTACTATGCACGCCGCGCTACCTATTGGAAAATATCACCTTCAATAAGAATGTAACTTCCCAGAGCAAGTGGTTCAAACGCCTACAGTGTTTTTTAATAAAACATTGTTAACTTACTTTTACTCCTTCAAACATCTTCGCATATCTCCGCATAAAACGTTCCGACAAGTCTTAAAATAACAACCTATGTACTAAAGAAATTAAAGTAAAGACGCAGGCGAGTTGGTGACGAATCATGGTAGAAAAACCCAGAGACAAGGAGCTAAAAGAACAGAACAATACGGTCTCAAATCCAACACAAGTATTTAATTAGACACAGTCTTTCTTATTCTTCTGTTCATATCCCCTAATCATCAGCTGGCGCCACATTTGAAAGCATCAAGCAAAAGTACGTGCACGTCTACAGTCTTAAGCGTCCGGTGAATACATAACCAGTTGACCGACAAAGACGGTGGTGACTCATCGTCAAATACAAACCATTAGCTCCCTTTTAAATCCTTGTTGTGCTGGTTTTGAGACGGAGTTGTTTTGTCCTTTTAGCTCCTTGTCTTTGCTTTTTTTTTTTACTATGAGCCTATGTACGTCTCGCGCAGCAGCTGAGTTTCGTTAAGCAGGAATTAGAGAAGCATAGGCTTCTTATCGAAGTTCTGACTGCCAGAATGAGGCTTGCTAGAATGATACCTTTCAAATAAATTAAAACAATGTAGGGTAGTAGAAAACACTGTCATATATTTTATACCAAATGAGCTCTTCATAATCGTGGCATATAGGGTGACCCAATTTGCGAGGCTCGATCCAAAATAGACCGTAAACGTCGACGCCTGCACGTAGCAATCTAAGCTTTTCCTCAAAGGCGTATTTCACGGGTCGTTTTTTCTTGAAAAATTACAAAGCGTAGCTCTCTTTCTGTAAAAAATAGGGCCAAGAAACTACGGCGGCCGGCGACGCGGACGACCAAGTCCAGTAGCGGGGTGTGTTTGGCATTCGCATTGATAGATGGCGTCGGGAGCAGCGTTCGAAGGTGCAGCCGACCAGCGAAAGAAAGCAGACAACACGCAGACGAAATCCCTTGGCCGCGAAAGCGCCGTCTTATGCAGACGCTTTTTTTTTTTTTACTTTAAGTTTTGCTCTTATTGTCGGCATTCATTTTTTAACCAAACCTGTATTTAAAAAGATTATGTTCATTTCAATAAACCACGGTGGTCGCGAGCCGTCGCAATAACAAGGTAGCGCCATTTATCAATACGGACGCCAAACACACCTCGCTGCTTGACTTCGTCGTCTGCGTGGTCACCCGCCGTACATCTTGGCACGTTTGTTGACAGTTTTTTTTTTTACAGAAAAAGAGCTACGCTTTGCAATTTTACAAAAAAACACCGACCTGTAAGATACACCTTTGATGAAACGTTTTGATTGGTTCGTGAAGGCGTCGATTTTTACGGTCCATTTTTGATCGAGCTTGGTGACTTGTGTCACCCTATACATCTCGCATTACAGGGAGAGGACCCATTTTGTCAAGCTCCCTGTAGGAGAAAAATAAATATTTAGAGAAATCACCCAGCACTACGGCCTCTAATTGCAAGAAACATTTTGTATTTCACAACTCACTGAGCTCTGCCACATTTCTCGCCCGAACTTTATTCACAACAAATAAAACGAGATCGCAACTTGCCCAACTCGGTAGTATAAAAATTGTTTTTATTATAAACAATATGGGCTTTCCATAAGTAAATGCGTTTATTTTTTAGGTGGTATTGTTATTGTAACTAATATAGATAATTTGCGGGAAATCATACCACACACCTCAATCTTGATTAACAAGATTTTTAGTTCTCTTTTCATACATTTTTGTTCTGTTTAATTTTAATTTGTTTTCTACATTCAAGAATTGTTTCCAAGCACCCGTTTCTTTTATAATATTTTTCATCAAAAAGGCCGTAATAAAAAAAAAGACAAGGAAAATACAATTGTTCGTAGACAGGGCAGCCTCGCTCATTATTTCATTCAATTTTAAACAGTCGACACTGATTGACAGCTCTAACTAAGGGTGCTTTCCAACGCACGGTGAAGAGCAAGGCATACTTTAATTTCAAAGGAAGCCTTTTGATAACAAATTTCATTGAATTCATGACGCCACTTACGAAGGAATATCGCCTTGAAGAAATGGCGGCTGAAGTATTCCAGCAGCGAAAGCTGAAACATAGGTTGTATGCATCATTTTAGTGATAACCCCAACCTATATATGAAGCCCTAGATAAGTATACTTGCTAATAAAGATTATAATATACATCAACATATTTACATGCATTGTTTAAAACAATACAAGTAAATTATGTATGGGATCAATTTGGGAGATCATGAAAACCGCTTATTAGAAAGTGGTTTTATTCACTAATATTATTACTACATCCTTTTAATTTTCATGAATTAATAACTGTAGTAGGCTTGACTTTTACTGAATGAACTCGAATAAATACATGACGTGGGACATTCTTGCACTCGATGTGGTCTCTATAAAAATACCTTTTAACTCTTAAAACCTAGACCAGTAAGAGTAGTATTTTAAAAATGTGAAAAAGTAAATCACCTCCCTGAACAATTCAGTGCTTACGCAAGAGTAAAGAATATATTGAGATAAAAATATACTACATCGCAATGCAATTGACAAATGGTGGTGATAGCTCTATTACTTGCACGTTAATGGATATAAATGCAAAAGATTGCTTAGCTGACATTTTCTTTTTACATTGGCAAATTTTTTTAAATATTCACCAGGTTGGTTAATGTTTGGAACTTATAAATATGATTTTAAAGAAAGATTGTACTTACAGATACTGTTATCCAGTCCATTGTAATACGCGCCCACTTCTGCCGGAGTAGGGTGCCACCTGTGGAAAGTTTCATGAAGAAAGAGTAACGTTCTTACGTAAGTGACGCCTATCTAAAACAAACAATGGACCAAAACTAGCGTGTATACTACCCATACTCACTGATCTTCCCTCTTATATGGTTGACGTAAATTTTGAAGGTATTTAATGAAGTGATTTTGCTTCAGACTGTGCAATACGTTCAGATATGAGTCGTCCAAGGAAAGGTTAGGCACCTTTAAAAAAAACACGTAAATATTTAGTATATCTCGATTATTTTTTTCTTTAAACGAATATAGTTTTCCGTCGGTGCCTCTTATCCAACGGGGCGACCTATATTTTCTCTGTTTCAAGATGTATTGACCTTAGCTGCACAAATATTTCACGGAAGTAACATTTCTCGTTAGATTGGTCGACGGGTTTATTAAGTTGCTCTCGCTTGCGCAGATATTACGATCAAAGTACATATATGCGGACTTTTCAAAGCAGTTTCGCAGCGCCGACTGTACAAATATATAGGTGCGACTTATACAAATTCGCAACTTATATGTATTAAAGTGTTTTCTTCAAACATACTTATAAAGAGGTGCGACATGCACAAAGATTCGAAAAATGCGGTATTCACTTGGCAGCGCATAAAATTAATAATACTTCGAGTTTATTTTGCCTTCCGTTTTCAAGGCGATACAGGGAGAACATAAAGTTTTCTCTTGATTAAGATAAATCCAATCCCAAAAGATCCATTGTACATAGAAACACGGCGTTGTGACGTCACGTTGACCAACTCATCAAGTTTTTTACTTGTTTTGTTACAGACGTCTCTGCAATCAGCTATCTTATTGTGGGGCGACTATAAAGAAGAAAGAGCCGTGTTTTTGTAGCATGATTAGAAGATAGGTATTGCACAGTAATACAGAGGACAACAAATACGTTCCTTTCATGCCTTACGATTGTAGCTGACGTTATGCCAAGACATCCTAAGCGTTATTGTAAGTAGCACAATAAGGAAATGAACTACTTTTTTTTCGCGGTTTTTACCTTTTTAGAAGCTGTGGTAAGCTTCTTCCTGGCTGAAAAGACTGCTGAAGGCACTTACCCGGAGAAAGGAAAGTCTGGTTGCCATTTTAAATTTCCATGAAACTGATGTTTTGCATTTCGCCGTACAATTTATTATTTGTTTAAGATTTATATTTGAAATATAAATTATTTCTAAAATTTCGTCTAGATTTATACATTGTGCAGCGTAAGTTAAACTTGAGGGTACTGGCGCACCGCCCAGTAGCGGTTTTAACAGCAATAGGTGTTCGAAGATGACTAAGTTCAAAGTCAACGGCGTACGTGTTCGCAGACGACCGAGTAAGCAATGCACCTAACTTGAATTACCCTCTCCCGTTAGGCGCTGTTATACTTCGTTTCAATATAAGTTGTCAAAACATGAACGCTACGGCCACTTCCTTTTGACTAAATGGACCTTTTCCTCATACCGAAGGCAGCAGGCGGTGGCTGCACGAACTAAAAATCGAAGAAGTGACCAACCTGCGCCACCAGTCGATAATGGGAGCTACGGTACCAGTTTCTTCGCTCTCTTAGCTGCTGCGCGTGCCCAACGCGATTTTAGGAGGAGCATCCGTGGCGTCCACCTAAACGTCGTGTTTTTCTTCCCATCCGCTTTCTTTTTTTGTGTAACACAATTATGTGTTAAGTGTTCTGCTCGCTGATCCACAGCCTACTTCCGAATTTCCTCGGTTTTTCGTGCCAACTTCCGCCGCTTGGCATCGGGCGCTCGCGCATGCGCACAACACTTCTCGGGAAAGTTAGATTGGGCAGTGCTGTCGAATTCATAGACGGGTAAAAGAGGAAAGCCACTTTTGTTCAAATTTTGAGTGGCAGGCTTATATTCTAGGCAAAGAATGATAGCGACGTGGTGGGACATACAGAAGGGGGTTCAGGTTAAGAAGGGATCGACTTAGCCCTTGCCCTTGTCTCCAACTGCTTGAGTTACGCTCTGACCCCTATACATTTTGTAAGCGCTGTCACGTGCTTCGCCTCGGTGGCTCTGATTGGCTCCAAAACGCCCGAGCGTTCTCTCTTTACAAGTATAAGGTGAAACGAAGTATTTGGAACTCCAACACCCTGGTAGACGGCGGGGCTGGGGTTCCAAGACAGCTCAAGAGACGGGGAAAGATTTTCAAAAATATTTCGTTTGCCTGCTTGTTGACGCTGGTGAATGCGCTTACTTTTGTTATTTGTTTTGAAAATGCCAAGCGGTCACGGCAGTAGCATATCATAGATGACAGACATCTTGACAAGCGTTAGGAACAAGAGCATGTTGACGTTTAAAAGTTCCGGAAATTCTGCAGATTTCTTGTGGAGGGCGAGCACGTTTTGGGCGCGGTTCACGTCATTATAAGTGGCAAAATACTTTTGAGGGTTATGAATATATTTTAGTGTTTGCGCTGCACTTGGACACCAGTGCTATAAAAAGTGAACGATAAAGGGTGATTGCCAAGGTCCGGAACAGCAGCATTTGCAGTATTGATGTCTCTGTGGTGAGGTTCCTAACTCACTGCACGCCGTCGCTGTTTTAGTGCGTTGCAACATGTGATCAACCTGCAGCATGGTTATAGCGTGACCTCAGGCTACAGTACGGCGCGACATTACAAGGGGAAGCTCGCACTGCACCACTGAAGAATGATTTTAAAGCGCACGCCAGGAGTGTTGCCGTGCACACAGTAGCCTGTGGTAGCACTATGCTAAAATTACACTTGAACGCCATCGGCATGTATGGAAGTTTTATTTCATACTCTTTTAAAATAAATGTTCAAATGTTGCGGATACTACAACTGTGTACCGTGTTCCTCGCAGCATCGCGACCCGACTCGCCAAAGTCGCCCGTTTTAAGCACTCGTTCGAACGGCTGGCTCAACCTGTTCGTTTCATTATTTTTGTCCACCTCAACCGCTTTTCTTAATTTTTTAAGTACTCATTAATTTGTTTCTTAAACTATTATTACTTTTACCTTCCGTTTTTTTCTGTGTTTTTTTATTTTTTATTTATTTTGTATAATTTTTAATATAATTTAGTCAATTTTTATCATTACACTCTTTCTTTTTTCATAATTTTCATTCATCACATTCCACGCTTCCTTCTCATGTTTCTATATAAATTACCAGTTATTAGTAGCGCTTGTTCTGTCCCTTTTATGTTCTTGTCGTCATCCGCTATTGTATATATGATGGCTAACCCAGACGCGGGTAAAGATGCCGCGAGCATTTCTTTCCTTGCCTTCGTGATTAAGCAAAAGCAAGTACGCATAGTCTGTTCTATTCTATTTCTTGTAGAAAACGGTCATGCTCCTTGTCACGGCATTACAGCACACAAAATGCGAGCCCATTCCCGATGTCTATTGCTAGGGATACCGATGCGCAAGCAGTTCTCTTTTACTTTCGTGAAGAATAAAATTTTCGTAGATCGCGCGCAAGGGCTTTGTTCTACTAACAGGAGCTTTTGTCTTCACGTTGCAGACAGATTGAGCTGGCGTACGCAGGACCCGAAATTCGCAATTTACAAAAACGTCCTTAAGGAAAGTAGGCATCCCGGTTTCTTTGAGCTACGCTGTTTCGAAGTGGAACAGAATAATTTATATTTTAACGCACTCGTCTTTTTTTCGTTAAAACAGCATTTTTTAGAAACATTCTGGCCAGATCCATCCGCTAACAGCAGCGCCAAGGCCGACAGTCCCTTCTTCCGTCTCCACCACCGTACCCGCTCCTCTGGTTTCTACTTCGTCCGCGAGAGGGCGAGTGGCGGGATAGAGTTGCGAAATAGCAGGCATACCAGGGAGTGCGTCGTCTGCTCGCCGTTCTCATATAGAGGAGGCGCAGCAAGGTACACGCATTGCTTACTCGATTGCCTCCAAACATGTCCGCCGTTGACTTCGGCAAGGTTCTTGGTCTGACGTCTTACAAGAAGAGAGCAACGCCTTGAAACTTCAAAAGGTAGAATACGCAGCGTTAATACACACTCGGGGAAAACGAGTTTTCGATGCGGAGGCACCGATTTTTTGGTTAATTTTACAGTGTTAAAAGATACTGTGGCTACACTATATGTATCTTACAGTGAACGGCTCTCTTACGCGCCCCATGAGCATAACAGGATGATTTATTTATTTAACTCTTTGGCGAATTGAAACAAAAACAAAAATGAAACATTTATATTCATGTGGTAGCCTAATTGAGCCGGTGAATGAAACGGGGGTTTCAATGTGTAAGATGTTTGATAGAAAAGTATTTAAGTGCTGCATGGTGGAGTGCGTCAAAATCTCATTTGAGCGTTTTTTTTTTCAATCGTGTTTTGGCCTCTCTGTGGTAAAACATAACATTGACTGATAATATTTTATGAATTATTATGGAATATTTGTAAATAAAAAATTTATCCTAATGTCTTCTAGTTTTCTTTTTTTTTTTACAAATCTGAAGACTTGGTACGCAGAGAATCTTTATCTAAATTCCATATTGATCTACCGAACAACCCTCTCCTTTCCCCCTACAATTTGGTAGAAATTAAATCAAATCGCCCAATATACATTTGGCCAGCCGTAGTTATCAAATATTTTATAATCTGCAAAATAATATTTGTTAAGCCAATATGATGAGTACGGTATTTGCTTATTATTAATGTTTATAACACCAGACTTTGCCAAGATAACTAGTAAAAACATTTGCAAGACACCAGGAGTTTCTACCCACAGTGAAAAAAGGTTAAACTGTAATGTTAGTAAGGTCACTTACATATTCATAAAGTTGATTAAGATGCGTGTCATTGAGCATCCAGTAAGGATAACCGATTTTACGAATCATTTTTTGAAGCTGAAATTAATGACATTATTATTAGATTATAAAAATATCGATAGATTTCGGTACCTTTTTTAATGCCTCCTCACGAGTATTGCAATCCATCCATGTATTATTTTCAAGCATTTCTTTGAAAGTACTGTTAACAACATCCACTAAGTGGTTCACCTGGTAGAAAAAGAAATGAGTCATACTCTTAAAAGTGTACTCACCACTATTTCGTCAGATAAAGTTTGTGCTGTGCATTTTATATATTCGACTTACTCTTTTGTGCAAATTTCAAGGGAAGAGAAAACAGGATGTACAGTTTCTATTACGGCAGAATTGTTCGCTTTATATGCATTAACTCCCCGTTTCAGCCATTGTTGTAATTATGCACTGTTCAGCGTTTTTCACGAGGAACAGCAAGGTTGATATAAGATTTAGTACCGGAGAATTTAATAATATAAAAGTAAGTATTTTCTAATGAACATAGTTTAATTTACACCATCAGTGACGGAGAACGGTGTGAAAGGATGCCTTATGTAGCTTCACCAGCCTCCGTTACCAGTGCACTGTAGAAACATCGAGCACTCATTATACGAACTGCGAATATACGTGTTAAAGGTTACGACCGTTCGAGGCTGGTGCAATAGTAGGGATTCTTTGCTAGAACCAAGAAAGTCAATAAGCTGCTACGCTTTGAAAAGCGAGACCAAAAATGTCTAGGTGGCTCAGCAAACATCTTTCATCAAAAAGAAACATTTTACAAGTGGAGCGAGCTTGACCGCTCGAGGTTGTGAAGACAATTTCATTCGACTCTAGGGGTTGAAAAATAAGCTATTTAATACCTTATCACATGCTCATAAAACAAACAAAAAAATGGCTAAAAAAACATGTGTTTTGTCTAAGGCTCGTCAAAATATTATGCGCCGGAGAAAATCACCCATCTGCAATAAGTCCTTATTTCGAATTACTTTTGTTCACGTTCCGCCCTATGAAAAGCACGGCGAAGGAACCCAAGACCGCACCTGATCTCACTGCAATGTCGTAGCCTTCCAAAGAACAAAGTCCGTCTGCTATGGTCACTGATCTCTATGCAGTGTTGCACGCGTTCCTCAAAAAAGGAACGAAAGATCGTTCCTCACTTTTCTGATTTTTGCAACTCGTTTACGTTAGAAGTTCTATATGTGAAAAAACTCGCTCCCATTACACTTAAAAAATTAAACATATCGTCACATATACGTTACATTTGTATATTTATGACTACTCTATTTAATTAAATCGAGGAAAGTTTTCTTTTTTATCTATCCCATCAAATGGGAGCATGCAAATTTGAGTGCCGTGATGGAAGGTCACCACGAGAAAAAACACATGCGGGAGCAGACTTTCATTTGATGATATATTGACCTTTACCAATCTCAGCCTGCAACCATATACATGTTTGAGGTGGGGGATTCCGACAAATTGAATGTACTGTCACCCCCCCCCCCCTCCCCCCGTTGCACGAGCGTTTTACATCTCACGCGTTTCAATCTAAGAAAATCCCTGTTCGAACCTAACAACAGTTGCTTGTCGATGTTGCTCTCCGTAAGACGAGCTAGTGAAGAAGAGGGTAGGGCTTAGGAAGGTCAGTCTTGAAAGCTACAAGTCCTTCTTCGTGAAGTTTGGATTTGTTTCTCAGACTAAAGGCGGGGGACTAGGGAAGAAGGAATAGAGGTTAATTTTTGTGTATATTTTCATTTACCATGTTCGGGATACAGGGTTGTGTTTGTTGTCTGGTAGCCTGTTCTTTTGTTGTAACTGTAGGTCTCATTGTGGAAGTTCAGCGATGGGTGTAGTCGGCCTAAAATTTATGGTGTACGAGGATTTGTGGAAGCAAAGAAAGTAGTTGAGTTTGAAACTTTCTTCTTTTTGTGCCTTTTCTTTTTACTAAAAGTTTCACTTTTTGAACCGTAGTCTCGGCCACTGAAAAAAAAATCGATGTCCACTAGCTCTCTTGCAGCCGACCGTTACCAAGCGAGGACGACACAAAATAAACACTACAATAAGTAACAAAAACGTTAAAGATATCCTGCTCTTCGTGTTGTCAGGGCTCTGGCCTTGTGACCTTCGCGTCTGTTTTCACATGACCCACGGATCGTGACCATAGTAACTGTTTATGATTGACCGAGATAGAGCGACTGACGTAAGGTGGCAGACCCGTGGCCGCATTTGCGGAGGAGCGATCAGCGACCCTGCAAATCGTTGTAGAGATCAGTGGCTATGGTCACCGAATTTCTTTAGATGTGCACTCGAACTCAGCGTCTGAAGCCTGCTACAGCCGTGCCATCTTGCTAATTCCATCAACGCGGCAACGCAAGCTTAGACTCTAAGCCAGCCTCCCAAGCAGATCGCGCTGCCCGCGTTCACCCCTCGTTTCGCTCGGAAAAACAATAATATAACCACAGGCCCGAGCGTGCACCAACTCTCGTTTGAACTGCCAAGGGTTCACCAGGCGTCCGCTTTCTGCCGTCGGCGTCATCCTCCACAATAACTCGTCCGACATAGGCTTGCGTTGTCGCGTGTTACACTCCGTTCACCATTAAGATGAGACGGCAGCTAAGGCTACAAGCGCCATCTAGCCCACGCTCCTGGCTTTGGGAAGTGCATTTCAAACGCGAGTGCTTGGTTTGCGGGAGATAGTTTGAAAGCGGCGACCTCGTAATCCCGCACTCGTGGCAGTGACTACAGTCTCGGCTTGAGGATGAACGGAGCATAGCAAACGATATTCGGAAATTGGCACCTGCCGTGTCTGGCTTCACACTCAGCGTTCGCGCGTTCTTTCCCACAGAAGGCGATTCGTTGCCATGGTGAAGGTGCTATGACAGACGGAATTGATCGTGCGGGAGGAGTGGGCGGGGTGGTGAAATCAGGTGCGCACTTGGACTCTTTCGCCATACCTTTCAACGGGGGGAACGTGAATTAAAGTCTTCGACATAAGGATTTAGTGCAGATGGCCGATTCTTTCCAGTGCCTAATATCTTGATGAGCGTTACATGAAGCATACGTTTTTAGCTCACAATTTAGGCGAGTTTTTTTTTTACTGCAACATGGGGCTCAACTACCGGTGTGCGGAAGCACGCACTTGCAGATTTTTAAACATGCTCTTTTTTCCAGGTAGATTGCGAGAATACAAGTTGTATTGACGAATCGTGGACCAATTTTCTATACTGGGGGAGGAACATAGGTGGCATGTGCTCATATTAAGTTATCATTTAAACCAATGAGCGATGTTTTGTAATTCCTGGAAATAGAGCGTTACCAAAAAAAAAACGCGTTACCAACAGCTGCCTCGTTAATAATAACTTGCTACTTTTTCAGTTACATACTAATTTACTTGTTAGATATAGAAAGAAACTGCCGAGTAAAGTATTTTTGTTAGTACTTTACGCTATCATCTAACAAACTATGTTACTCATTGCATTTAAATAAGATTATAATGCGAAAGCATTAACTGTCCCATGGAGCGGAGCTGGCGTTTTCCGTAAATTTGAAAAACGGCCGAAATATTTCCTCTGCGTCAGAACCAAGAAAAAAATGGCAAAGAAATTCTCGCCGCGGAAAGGCTATTGAAATGGCTGCCAAACGCCTGAATACTCTGTAGAGCCCGGCCGGCCGGCCTCCGCAGAGGCTGCTCGGCGTGCCTCTACGGAGGATAGCAGGGCACGCAGCTTCTAGGAATAGACCCTTTCCGAAATTCAGTGCCATCTGAGGGTATGTAAAGCAGTTTAGGTTTTGCCCTATCAATGGCGGAAATAAACTTGTATCGGTACCGTCACTTTCGCAAGTCAACGGCACGCGAGGAATTGTTCAGTGTGAGTTCTTTCTCGATCACTCTAAGTTCAATGGTGACCGAGAACCTGCATTCAGAACAAAGCCCTAACCCACTCAGATGCCTCGAGAAAATTCTATACACCATGGTGCTTTAAAGCCGATTGCGAGCCGCCCGCAGATTGACTGAATCTGAGTTATTAGAAATAAACGGTTACGTAGCTCTTGTGTTTTATTCGTACGTCGCGTCGTACTCAACCCTTTGAGTATACACGCATCGCAAGACCCGCTTAGGAGCATCTTCAACGTCTTTCTTTATGAATAGCTAGAAGGCCGCCATTGGTATGGCACAGATGCCGTTCCACAGTTGATGATATTGATCAAAGTGGCCAGACTGAATTTCGGAGAGGGTCTATACGCTACGCATACGTAGGCTTTCGCATTCCTACACGTAAGAGGTCTTAAGTGTCCTCCTGTAATATTATATTCTTTCAACATAAAAAGAAGTTTATTCGCGTTCTGTATTTTAAGTTATAATCGTAAATACTTTTTTGTTTTTCTCTGCGGCATTATTTCAAAATCCTTCACTAAGATGAATCAAAAAGAAACATTCTATTGAGAATTGAAATATATATTTATGCTACAAATTTGATACAAAAATGAAATAAACGCTATGAAATCACTCTGTAAATCTTTAATTGTTGTCGAAGTTCGCATCCGTGGCTTACTGCCGCCGAATAGTACTGAAATTAGAAGAAAGTCAAAAGTGCAAGTTCGTTAGAGTTGGAGGTGACGGTAACCGTATTTTGAGACATTTCGAGGACGAGAACATATCTCAGTAACGCCTTAATTTTTGGCAAGCTAAAGGGTAGCGCTAATTCGTTACTTATTTTCTGTAACGAGCACGACACTGTTTTTTTCACACAATATAAAAAAATGTACCAAGACTCAACCAGAATGCCGAATCGTGGGGTATTAACCCTTAGTTTCCCAATCTGCATTTAAAGGCACACACCATGTACACCATTTTTTAAGGCTCTTCGAAATACTGTATGCCGGCGAGCTCCCACTGTTAAACAGAAAACACAGTGCGCTATAATATGCACTTTTGTTTGATTTCTTACTCTGACATAAGCAAACGCTTTAAGTTAAAAAAAACGCACGTTGCACGTTTTGGCCTTGGCCAAAATATTCGGAGTGTTTAGTTTCTTTTAGTCTGGCAATAGCTTGTTTAGTCCTTTTAAAATTAGATGTGCATAGACCCTAAACACAGCGGGCATACCTTTTACCATGCCCTGAGTGAAAACTTTTAATTTGTTTCAAGCTACGCGCTCGAATTAGGTTCGTTAGTCATGCGCAATACTGACCTCGAATGTCGCAAAGCATTTTGCGTTGGAGAAATACAGAGACATATTTTGTTGCCTTTTTTTGCTTTATGATTGAAAAGTTGGATTTAAAAAAAAATTATTCCAGAACTTCTTACAGTTTGCGGTAACCGACCTCAATTTGTAGGATTGCTTGCATTTTACAAAGAAGTGAAGATACAATGACAAGTGACTGTGACGAAGAATGGGTTTCCTCACGAAAGAGACCCAGGGCCGAGAGTGTGCCCTTATCAGAAGATTCGTTGTCTGTAGCAGAGAAGTTGCACCTAAATTCCGACTGGCTGCGAAAACTTCCTTATGGAGGTTTCTATAGACAGAATAAATTAATGACATTGAAAATAAAATTCCGTACGTTTCTGTCTGGGTGGGAATTGAACCCGGGCCTCCGGGGTGCGAGACGAACAAGCTTCCTATACACCCGGCCGGCTCCACGGTTCCTGCTGACTAAAAGTGTGCCCCGTGCATCCGTAAGCAGTTTTAAGTGACTGCGCCGATTTCATTTTATGCGTAGGAAATATTTAGAAAAAGACAAGCACGAGAGAAGTTGAACGGAACAAGGCACAGTCGAAACTGAATGAAATGCTTTAGGAGTTTTGTCCTTGTACCGCTCTAAACATAACTCGGTGTTAATGTATGCTGGGAAAGCAAAGCATGTGTTAAAAGATGGAAATAAACATTCCTGGTTTGGTTTAAAATGGCAGCTTGTCTACATTCGGATCAACGAACATTTTATCCGTGATTCGATGATTGACCGAAAAAACAGTAGACATTTTGTGCATCAGTCTTGGGGACAGTATACATCGAGAGATGAAAAGCAACATATGAACAGTTGAACATGGAAAGTCGCAAACAAGTGTGCTGCTCTGTTGCTCATAAACTTTAATTTACTTGCCACCAACACTCTATAATACTGATTGTGAGATAGTTTAGTTAGGTTTTATTAGTATTATCATCCATATAATATTGTACCCATTCCCATAAAACTTATACTCGCAGTTCCTAATCTTTATTTTCATCACATTTTTGCAACGTTTCCATAACGTGAATAAAGGTTGAGAAACGTTAAATTTAAGTTTTCTAAAATTATGCTAATCGTTTAGGTTATGTTCCGGCAATGCTACCTTTCTAACGTGGCAGTTAGATTTCTTATGTGAGTTAACGTTGTGCCACATTAGCCACAACCCAGTAACGTCTGGGCAACATTCACCGTTACCAGGGAGGTTGCTTGTTTGTAGCAATTTGTCATATAGCACTGCCAGATATTTACTGACGTGTAGGATTTTATCAAAACAATTGATTCTAACGGTGATTTCGCCTATGTTTTTTTACTAATAATAAATTGAAATCCAAGTGTGCCGCATTATATGCAGACATATTTTATTCATTACGTCAAGTAAGGAAATACGTTAACAAATATTTTGACTGATGCATGTGGCACACGTTAAAAATGTGAAGTGACTTAGACTTTATGTAATCAATATATTTTCAGCTTTACAATACAAGATAGTTTTACTTGAAATAAAAACAATTGTCACATGTCAAGCACATTTTTCACGAAAGGCATTGAGAGGAATTTTGAAAAGTTGGCTTACAGTGTGTATAGCGCTAGGCTCAAACATTTTGTCCACATAAAGACGAATTAGGGCATGTTTCAATACGCCTGATATTTCTGTGAGGCACGTCTTCCAACGCGGAAGGACTGTTTCTACTCCAGATGACCTTTTGTCAAACTCAGATACTAACTGACCAAACTTCTTGGACGACTCAGACCCATATGTCCGAATTTGTGTCCAGCATAAGTAATTATACAGCGTAGATCTGAAAGAAAAATATACAAGCGCACATAAACATTTAATTAAATTTGTAGTCTGGTATCAATCTTTACTCAGCACAGCACTTTTATGACTGATCGTTTACTGCCAGACGCTCTGCAAACGACACGAATTAGTACGACTATGACATCGATGAATGATTAAAGCCACCAATTGACCTGCGCTTAGTGTATCGGCACTCCGTTCCGCGACTCTGTTGTGGGCGCCGCCATGTTGGTGCTTGTTCAGAACAGACACAACTGCTGATCACCATGATTCAAAAGTGCGACTTCGTCAGCATTAGATTCGGTGTTAGGAAGCTCATATTATATTGCTTTGCTTTGTCGCGAACCGTTTACAGATTTGTGGAAAACGGAAAAGCGTTTCCTGTGATTTCAGGTAAAGCTTCAGATGACTGGCAAACATAATTTTACGCCACAATATGGCGAAGTGTCGTTACTCTGAAGCGTAGCTTATTTAGTGGCACTCGATGGTATATGGTTTTAATCTGCCGTTCTTATTTAGTGGCACTCGATGGTATATGCGTCAAATCTGCTGTTCAGGTGTTCGTGCCGGGGGTAAGTATTAGGTCCGTACGTGTTCTTTTTAAATCTGACCATCCGGAACTCGCGCTTGTTAGACGCATACTAAAGTATACTCTAATTTGTTCACCCTTGATCAGTCTTTAACTACGACTGTCACGTGCGCTTGGAAAAGAGGAAGAAGAAGACCATGTGAATTGTGGGAATAAGAAATAATAATATAATATAAAGTAGCAGAAGTCTTGGTATCATAAAAAAAGATAAATATTAACCGTCGGAAAAGAAACAGACAATTATCCCAAGAGAAAGTACGACAAGGAAATGCTTCTATGCGTCTCAGCGCTAATTAATGCTCGGTAAGGACATAGGCACCTGAGGTGAAGCTCGGTTCACGAGTCCTCCGTGGCATGTCCTCGTGGAGGTGGTTGCCTTAGCCTCGGTGGTTGGAGGTCGTAGCGCAGACCTCGCAAGGAGCTGCGCATGGCAGCCCCACGTGTCGGAGTCCGGCAAAGGTTCCGTCGACCAGACCGCTTTGTTGAGCGATAGGCTGGCCGATCGGTACGGTCCGTGCTCAGCTTTCAATTGCCAGTTCTGTCGTATGCTCCCCATTTCGCCCTCTTCGTAATCTTCTTCGTCTTCAATCGCGGCCGCGGCGCAATCATTGGCAGGTAGATCCTGACATTTCCCCCTACTTTTAAAAGCTACATTTCATGAAGATTTCTGCGCATGACGACGCCGTTGATACATGGTCGTGGTCGCCATATGCGCGCACTTGCAATCAATTTCTTCCAGCACCCACGCACACGTTCGACAAGTATGGATTGGTATCAAAACAAATCGTTTTCCACCAAGTCCACATTTCAATATTAAACAATATAAGTTTTCATTTCCCCGGACAATTTTCACGTATTTAAAACCTTGCCCGCTCAACTAAAAATCTCACATTTAATTACTAAATTTTCCGAAAACCCATTTACAAAAATACAAACCGAGATTCGACTTCCTTTCTTGTAGAAAGAAAAATATATCCTGATACCATGCGAAATCTACGTTCAATGGTCAAATTACTTAACCTGTTCCCACGTTCCTCGTGGTAAAAAAAGGAAACTTCTCTTCAGATCTCAACGCAACTCATGAAGTCCGGTCCAACATTATCAGATCCCACGATATATTATACGTGTAAGTTCTTGTCTTGCAGCCGCAGACTCCATCGCTTCACGCGATTGTTAGCATGCTTCGCCTTTTTCAGAAATTCCAGTGGCCGGTGATCGGTCTGAATTCAAACTTTATGGCCATGTTGATGCTACCTAAATCTCTTGACGACCCCAATAAAATGCCAAACATGATTTTTTTATTGTGGCATAATTCCACTCTGGTTTGCTCAGCCTCGCTGCTAGCATATGCAACAAGGTGTAAAACGTCTTCACTTTCCTGCACCAATACGGCACCTAAGCACACACCGGACGCATCTGTCCGCAAGACAAACGCTTTTTTGGGGATTTGGTGCCGCTAAGATAAATTACATCGGCAAGCACCCTTTCAACTCCTCAAGGCCTCCTCCTGGTCTTCACGCTACTCGACTTCATTTTGTGCTCCTTTCTTCGTGAGTTCCAGCAAGATCCGCGTAATTTGGCACAAATTCGCGGTAGTAGTGAGATACTCTAAGAAAGGACATAAATTAGCGTTTCGTCACTGGTCGCGGTGCACCTTGAATCCTCTTAAGGACCTCCGCGTAGGGCGCGATTTGTCCTCCTCCTAGCTTGTGCCAGAAGAAGACTGTCTCGGTGAACCCACCTCACACTTCATTGGTCGCGCTGTGATGTTAGCGGCTTGCAGACGATCGAAAATTGTTCTCAAAGTTTCATGTGCTGTTCCCATGAGTCTAACGCTATCAGGATGTCGTCGATATAGTGATGAGTGTCAGCAATTTTAACAAGCTTTCAGCTTCCTCATCAGTCTTGTAAAATTAGCTAAGGCAGTCTTAAGCCCGAACGGCATAAACCTGAATTGGTAATGTACACTTCCTGAAGAAATTGCAGTTTTCTCTTTGGCTGACTCCTCCAACGGGATTTGCCGATATCCTTTCGACAAGTCTAACTTAAAAATAACCTCTTTCCTCCCACGTTAGCAAAAGTGACGTCTATCCTTGGGATGGGCTCCGCGTCTACCTTCAACACGTCATTCAATCTTCGATAATCCACGAAAAACCTGCTGGATCCGTCTTTCTTTTTAACGATTACGACCGGTGCATTGCAGGGTGATTTACACCGCTCGATGATTCCCAGCAGTAGAATTTCCAAAATCGCCACTTCTACTACGTCTTGGACCGCAAAGGTCAACGCATGTTGTTTCACGCGGACTGGTTCCTCAGTGGTCAGTTTCAGGTCACACGTAACCAAGTTGGTCTGGCCGGGTCGATCTGAAAACACATACTGGTTTTGTTCAATAAATCTCCATACCTCGCCCCTTTCCTTGTTACGTAGGTCCTTGTTAACGACGACATCGTGCCAAGACTGTTCTGTAGTGTTTCTTCCGGAAAGATTCCTCTCGATGAAGTCTTGCGTCGCAGCGCCGCAGCGTGGCCGATTCATCTCGTACTCCTGAATTTGTTCATATTTCTTTAACATATTCAAGTGGAATACCTTCTTTCTTCCTCCAACATCATGCTAGTAGTCGACTTCACTCTTTCTGCTCGAGACTCTAAAGGGTCCCTTTCATTGCGTAATCAAGTTATTGCGATCGCTTGGAAGCATAATGAGAAGCAAGTCTCGTTGTCTCATTTGACGGTTAACGCCATTCTTGTCGTAGTACTTTTTCTACTTGCCCTTGGCATCATTCAAACAATGGTGAGCTAACTCGCATGTCTCTCCCAGTCTATTTCTCAGCTCTAGGACGAAGGTATAGGTCGTCTTGAGGTCAACTTTGAGTGATTCGTTGGACCATATCTGCTTGAGGATGGCCAAAGGTTCATGTACCCTCCGCCCATAGAGAAACTCAAAGGGTGATAACTTCAGGCTTGGTTGCGGAACTTCTCTTTAGGCAAACAACAGTGCTGGAATGTACCTACCCCAGTCCTTGGACCTTTCCTGACACATCTGTTTCACCATCTGTTTGATGGTCTAATTAATATTTTTTTACCAGTTCGTTCGCCATCGTGTGGTAAGGGGTGGTCAGTAGACACTTCCCGGAAAGACGTTTGCACACCTCCTTTATGAGATCCGAGGTGAAGCAGGATTCTCGATAGCTAAGGGCCTCTGATGGAATACCGTACCTGGCAAACATTTCTAAAAGCGCTTCTGCCACTTGCTATGATCCAATGTTTCTCAAGGGAACAGTGTCTGGGTACCTTCTGTCCATGTCCACCATCGTCAAAATATATCAGTTGCCCGAACTTGCTGTTGGTTTAATACGCCCGATGATGTCAACCGCCACTTGCTTGAAAAGTGTCTCGATTGTAGGAATGGTCTCCAGAGATGCTTTGCCTACTCTTCATTTTGGCACTGTTCTTTGGCAGACCTCGCACGAGTGAACATGCCTGTTGATATCGCTTTGTATCTTGGTCGAGAACTCTTGTGTCGCCAATGCAAGCGTATTTTCATGTCTTCATGTCCCGACGTGATGCCATCGTGTGCCATTACCAACACAGTTGGTCTGTATCTCGTTGTCAGCACTAATTGCTAATTTTTTTTTTATTATTTATTTCACATATTGGTCAATGTTATTCCCAGTGGCAAACACGCAGCTTCGAAAAAAGCAAGTTACTTTGAATCACCATGTCATTTCTTGTGCGAGATCTGTGTTTCCTTATCCCCTTTCCAAAGTTGTCGAAGCGCTTCTCATGGGACGAGTCATTCTCTGCTCCCTCGAAAGTTCCTCTGCTGTCACTTCGAGGATTGGAACCTGCGGTACGTTGAAGGGTGCCTGTCCTCTATCGCTTCTGTACTTTGTCTGTCGAATCCCGGCAACGCTGGCATTTAGCCTCGTAGAGGGACTACTCGGTTCGTGTCCTGGTGACTCGGTTTTGTTCTCGATTTTCTTCTCTTCCTTGTCATCGAAACTTACGTGTTCGGTCCACGGTGGCATTTCTTTGCTCCTTTGTTTTGTTGGTCGCTATTCCAGGCTGGGCCCGGCTCGTGCTCCTCTCTTGCCTGGGGGATGATGCCAAGAACTAAATCCTACAGTGGGCTTTGAATACACTTTGCGATAACTTTTCCAGTGAAAAAAGGTGTGCTAACAAAGTTATCAGCCTCTGGTAGGTGTTTTACTGTTCGGTCATGCAAAAATAGAGGGCTTGATTCGCCAGCGTAGGGACTAGGCGCTTTTTCCCAACTATAGTATCGCAACCAGTGTCCCGCAGCACTGCTAACTTCCGTTCCCCCCCACAACCTTCGATTACAGGCATGTTCTTCAACAAGAACTTAGCTGCTCGTCCAACCGTTGGATTTAACACTGAATCCTGTCTTCA